GGGAGACATAATTGTTATGTGAAAAGCGTCTTTTATGCAAGGATTTGCTCCTGAGGTCTTCCTTCACAAGTAAATGTAGAAATTTGCCATTTAGACATTATTTCAATTACTAAAATGTATATATACTTGTAGATATTAAATCTATAATACTAACTACATAAGTGCCGTTTCCGTCTTTTAATTGAAATGTTGTTGTACATATTGTTTAATGTCATGGGATTTTAAAACCAATACTAACTAACGTATATATGTATTATTATGTATATAGGCAGCGTCAGCGGTAAATGTGGCTATAAATAGATTGCCCCTCTGGTTATAAAGATGATTGTCTCACAATAAAAAGACAATTAGCACGGTTGATTTGCAACGGCCGCTATGGTGTAGTGGTTAGCATATTGAGCCGGCAATCCAGAAACCCGTATTTCGAGTACCGGCTGCTGTGTGCCAATTTTTCGTACTGTTTTTACTTCTATGTGTGTGAGTGAGTGTTTGCCTGTGTGCGTCCGTGTGTAGGCAGATTTGTAAATAAACATTCGACTCTCAGGTATACTCTAGTAATATATTGTAGCTATAATACTGTATGTATCTCTACAACATCAAATATTTAATTGATTTATAGTTAGGTATGTATTGCTAAGATATCAATAAATGCAAAAGTCTAAAAGCAACTATTTGAAAATTGAAAGGAAACACTTGTTATTCTACAATGTGAAAGATTTGTTATTATTTAATGTTTTGAAGAAATTAATCCGCCTTTTCGTCAGTATAATAGGCGTTAACCAGTAATACAACATTTGAATATATATTTAATTTAATACATTTTCCTGTCGAAACAACACGTAACAAAGGGTTTGGGAACAAATGAACAAGAATTTTGTAAAAAGCTATTCAAATACATCTTAATTGTCAAATTTATCGGAACCTAATTATACACGTAACCTATTGATTAATAAAGGTTTAATATACCAGATTCAATATTCAATCAAAAAATGTTCATGTCTATAAATACACTTAACGATCATACACGTATCCATTTGTAAAAAAATCCCCCCATGGCGTGTATCAACTATTGTTGGTGTTTGTATTTATATCTTTTTAAAATTGTGATCATACATTTCTTAAAGAAATTTAATCATTGAGCACTTTGTAAATTATTTATAATAATAATATCTGTCATATTTTGCGGTTCAGATCGGAATATCCGTCCCGAGGTGACACGCCCATTGGGCGGTAACGAGGCTTGCCGAGTTACCGCCCATGGGCGGGTGACCGAGGGACGGATATTCCGATCCGAACCGCAAACATAAGTCAGATATTTTTTCTTGCATATTCTACCATATCCCATTATATTTTAAATTCTTTATCTTTATTTTCAATGAAAATTTATATCATTACAACCGTAACTACTTTCATTCAACAGCGTATGAATTACAAAATCATTCATAACGGTAAAATGACGTCATCTTTATCGTGCCATTGTACAGCACGCGACTCATCTGGAACCCCCCATGCCAGATGAAATTTCCGGCATGGGTAAAACTAACGGAAACGCCAGTCTGATATGCAAGAAAATGTATTGTGGTTTTAAATTATAATCACAGTTATATAGAAGGAAATATTTTTTATCGCCTATCGAAGTCGTCTATTTGTGCTATTATTATTTGCCATAAATTCTTTTGTATATGTGATATTTTTCTCATCTTTGTTTATTTTTCAGGTTATAGCAGTTTTTTTGTTTGTTTTTTTTTGTATTGTTAGTATTTTTGTTGTTAGTTTTTTTTTCTTTCTTTTTTCTTTTTTCTTGTGTTTTTGTAAAGGTGTATAAATACGTATACTTTTAATTAAATACAGTACTTATACAATTCTTTTGTCATTTGACTTTAGTTATATAGGTTGGTTTAGAATCTGATTCCTTTAATCAAAACTTTTATGAATCGTATTTTTGTTTAATAAGAATGATATTATAGTTACATGAATTTGTTTTAAAGTAGGAAAGATTATATAAGATTGAGAATATAATAAGTTTCAACTATCGAAATATACTAAACACATCGTAAATTTTATTCTTTTTATGTAATAATTGATCTTTTCGAAAATCTAGCTTAACACCGTTATCCGGTGAGTTACGGATTACTTATCGCTATTACACGCCATTTAGGTGACTTCCCTATAGCGATGTTTTCGAACTCGTAAGTTGTCATTCAAAATATTGTACAAAGTACGTAAGAAACCAGAATCAAACGTTCTTGCTCCGGCTTCTGTTATTATAATAGTTTTGGCTGTTGTTTTACGCTTCCGTCCGCCATCCGCTTATGTGAAAGTTTACGAACAACATTCTCATTTTAATGTGTTTTTTAACAATTCATCCACCACTGGAATAACAAAGCAACCTAGCATTTAGATGCGACTTGCGTCCTAAAGTGACATTATGATAATCAATGTGTAAATGGTCAGTTAACACGTAAATTTAAAAAAACAAAACTTTTACAATGAAAACTCAGTCAATATTCCATTGGACTAACAGAATGTTCCATATAAATAGCGTTCAACGCTCAGTACTTAAAAGGCAGTGGGGGGGCGTCATTTTATGATTTAGGTATTTTTAGTGATTTTTATATTGTATAATACACATTTTTCATAATCAATTATCACCGTACAAATAGCCAATCTTTAGAAATATATTACTAATTCAACTCAACAGAACTACAAATAATACAAGCCTATTCATTTTAAGTTTTGGTAAATTAATGCAAAAATATTTGATTTATTGTACAGATAGTAAAAAGCGTATCATATTACATATACAACATAAACAAACACTAATTCTCATATAGTTCTGTTCTGTTTATTGTTTAAAACAATTATTTTATGGCGAAGCATTCTTGTTATTCTTTGTCATTTTTATTACATGATATACTAACGCAGTATAGATGCGACTGGATGTCTGATCCGGATGTCTGGATGGATGACAATGTCGGCTCCAAATGACATCCCAAGTTAATGGCAAGATGAAAACACAGAAATGCATTTATTACATAGAAATAAAAAATATTTATTTATTCATTTTATATACTCAGTAATTCGATTACAGTGAAATATCAAATGCACGTATAAAGCCACTCAAAATAAGTTTTTCTTGCACGTGTCCAGAGGGGAAAGATGTAATATTGGGTCATGAATCCCACGGATAGTAAGTAGAAACCCTTGACGTTTCTTAACCTCTGAAATTGGCATTACAACTGCCGTATGAACACATCTGAGGGTGTTTCTAATTCAAAATCTGGTCATTTCGTGTTTGAATGTTTAATATTTCTTAAGGCGGTGCTTGGGGTGTTGACAGTAGCTTGCATTTAGCACTACAGTTTATAAACAGGCTAAATTCAACCGAGTCTGCAACATTTTCAATATTTTCATTTTGGTTTTACTTTTTTGACCAATTACATAACAAAATTAGCAAAATTGTGACTCATGACTCCTTGTGGAAACGGAAAACTAGCGAAATGCCAGTCAGTCTACCTTTGGAATATGCATTGTTTTTGTCAGAAATTTGTGACCCCCTCTTATTAAAAATCCTGGTTTCGCGCCTGAGTGACTAAAATAACTTATTATTTACATCATTCGATATAATATTATGAATCACATTATTTAAAGCATATAAAAATCAAGTATAAAGATTTCATGATATAACATATTAATGTATAACTGTTTACGACGGATATCTAAAACATTATGATTGGTTTTGCCACACGTTTAAACAATAATTTTATATAGATTCAGATACATCGGCTTTAGACAAGGGCATGAACTCTAATAATACAACAGGACACTCGCTAGTATGAGTTATTACTCCCTTAAATAGAGTGAAAGTTACATATGTTTTGAATTTTTCAAACAACATATTATTATTCATTTATTTTTTGCATACTTGACTTAATAATCAAGCTATAATGTGATATATGCATTATATTTTACACTGTTATTACGTAATATGACTTTAATATGTAAAGTACGTCATTTATATCAATTTTGTTTTCAACGAAGCAACTTTACACCCAAAAAGATATATTTTAATGTGAACAGAGAAAATAATTCATACCCAGTATATACTTTATAATAGTAGTCACGTTGAACTACATGTTGTTTTTTTTCATTTCGGAAAATAAAAATCATCTGGCGGTAAGTTTCAGCTGTTTTTAGCTTTTACGGACTTCGCCTCGGTGTTGTTATATTTTCTTCGGGTCCTTCTAGATCATTTATTTCAGCATATTATGTTGAAGATTGAATGCCGCTTAATCCGTTACTAGGGAGCGAAAGGGATGTTGCGCTCAAGAACAGATGCAATCAAACCGAGTCTGCAATTTTAATGTAATTTTGTTATTTTCATGCCTTCTGAGTGATTTCCACTTTTCCAGTAATAAAATATGCTGCCAATCATCTACCGACATGACTTTATTTTAGCATTATGCGAGTCACTATGTCATGTACTGCTAGTTCAACAGATCCATTTCACAAATGTAATGGTTAAAACTTTTAAACAGTGCAGTATCTAACAGCATTTGTTGTCCTTTTTATTCTAATATTTTAATGTCCATAACTGTATAATTTAAAAATAAACTTAACATAGTTATATTTTTAAACACTACCCTCCGTTACATAAAAATATCTAAGTTATGATTTATAATATTTATTTTAAGAAAGGTATAATATATATTTTCTAAAAATATATTTACAATCGACCGGTCATGCATCCTATTTCAGTTGTTCATTCTCATCACGCCATACAATCTATATTCAGAATATAAGATGTATATAACATACTGCATGCTTTTGATTAATTAGGTAGATATGAATAAGAAAGAAAAAGACTTAGAGAAGCCAAGAAATATAACCGATCAGCGTTATTCGGATTCTAAAAATAGGGCAATTGCTACGTACCTAAATATAGAAACTAGCGTAGTGGAAAACCATTACGCTAGTGGTTTTCCACTGCGCAATAGATAAAACAGCAGGGCATCGGGGATAGTTACCGATAGTTGTTATTTGCATTAAGTTTGTGGAAAGAGGAAGATCGACACTATATTGTACAATTATTGCAGGGAGAGAATTTGATACAGATTGATACAAGTACTACTGACTTAAATTAAGGTCAGTTCTAACTATTTATATTGTGAAACAATAATTGAATCGCTTGAAATATTTAGGTCATACGTTATATAATTGAGACTCGATGGTTTAATTCTTATTTTTGTTTTGATATAGGTTATATGTATGGTTTGCATTAAGTACATATAATAATCAAATTTAATGGTTCACTCATTCGAAATAAAGTGTTTGTTTATAAATCTAAATTTAGCGTTTTTTCATAGATTATATGATTAAAAGATAACCTATTTTCATATATTTTCATATATTCGTAATACATGTCGAAATCGCTATATCCATTCATTTCTGCGTTTCTATTTCATACAATGTATCATCAATTTCGACTGAAATGAATCAATAGATTATCGCTGACAAGACGCGTTTTAAAATATCACTCCATTTTTAAACACTCTTATTAAAACGCACTAATTACATGTATGGCGTGACGTATAATGTTAAGGTTATTTATATATTAGTGAGTCTGTTCATCACAAAACCCTCCTACGTACATGAACGAATCTTAATATATAAAATATAAATGACGTCCAATAGCTGAGTTTTCTGATAAAGTAATTGCACCATAAACACATAATAGATACTGGCTAATATTACTTGTATACAAAAACACGACGCATTACATTTATTCATCGTATTATCACTTCAAAATATTTCCACTGTGTGTTACTATTCTTAATTGTATTAATTAAATGCGTATTGCAGAGATCTTTAATGATATAATTCAAAATGTGTTACTCAAAGTTTTTATATTTTCTCTCAGATATTTCAAGCCAGTCCTATGAACAAAATATACAACTTACCCTACAAAAGAAGCAATGGAATGGAATTGTAAAAACAATTATAATTAAAATTATAAATGCTAAATTTATATCAAAAGCATTTCTCTTTATAAATATAAATATATCAGTTTAAAAAATGATTTTATGTTGCAAAATCCGTGTCTCGTGTTGAATGGAAGCAGTAAGAAAGAGTCGACTAATGATGATAATGCACGCGACATCTGCTAGGCATATTCCAGTCATTTTTACACAAGTGTGAACGACGGTTCTCAAATTATGCTGAATAAAAGAACACTTGGCAGAGGTGATATGTTTCTTTTTCAGAAATTTCTTAATTCAGAATCTGTAGTACGGGGCTAACAAAACAAATGCAATACTTTTTATTGAATATGTATTAAAACGACTCTATGTTTACATAACTTGAATTGACTAAATATATTGGCTTTTGTTCTTCCAAGAAATGAGCACCCGCAACAGGTTTCCTGTGAGCAAGCAAGTGAAGACAGGAGTGAAATTGCCTTTTCAAATGGAGCCTCGTTTCCAGCTCATGTAAATGAGTACTCCATGAACTCTGAGACTTCTTTTGTCAGAGATGGATTTTTAAACCCGCCTGAAAGAGACCCAGCTAGGCTTCCGTCTCCTCATTATGGAGTAACTGAAGCTACCGTAAGACTAACTCACCAAGCCAGACATCCGCTGTATGCTGTGTACGGTGAAAGACTTAGATCATTTGCTAGATGGACACGTACAAACCCTGATCCAGTTTGTCTTTGCAACGCAGGATTCTTCTTTACAAGTAAAGCAACCCTAGGATTATTTTAATAAAACGATAAGGAGTAGTTGACATATCATTCCTAATCATCTAAATTATAACAAATATTTTTTTCTAATAAAAACCATGTGTTTATATTTCTATATGATTTTGATATAGATACCACTGCTGTTATAAGTATTGCTGAAACCCCAATGAGGTTAATGTATCTCTCCAAAAACACGGTACTTTAAGGAATGTCTCAATCCTCAATGTGTGATTTTTCACGTGATATTTATATTTTTGCAATAACTTTATTCTATAATCAGATTACTGACAAAGTATTTCAATACAATTGGTCTTGACCATCTTTACTTAATTAAGCTTTCAATACCGATCAGATCACATAAATCACTTAATTATGTTTTATTGTATAACATATGAACACGAAGAGGTTCTTATTATTAAGAATAGATCATTCTTCAATTTATGACAATATATGCAAGATAAATGCAGGAATAATTTCATTATTCATTATTCATTTCAGATGAAGGTGATCTGGTTCGATGTTTCTTTTGTGGCATAGGCCTAAAGGACTTTACAGACAGTGATGATCCTTTGCGTGAACACGTTCGACATTCTGAAAAATGTCTGTACCTATTTGATCACCTTGGAACGGTCAGATTAGCTTCCATAAAGGTAAAATGTGAACATATCAATAGAAATAATTTCACCAACCAATACACATAGGAAAAAAGTTAGCCTACTATAAAGATATATTCTTATACAGGAAACTTAAAATAAACTGATGTTAATCATAGCTGACGTGAATATTTGTTTCGATATTCTAAATCAAGTATTTAAAGTTCAGATATTTGTCTTTTATCTCAAACAGAACAGGGGAACACGTGTGTGGTGCCTTATTGTAAGACTTGATTTACAAAATATGTTATCATTATATCAGCACAAAATCAATTATTAACTCATGGTTCTATTATAGTTTATTAAATGTTCATTCAGACAATGATTGTTTTTGTTCTAACAAAGGGCTTGTAATTTAGTCCTATTGAATACTAACCATTGTCAATTACATCTGTTACTTATATGTTATTATTTTTTTATTAAAGGCTAGTTGTCAGGATCAAGACAGACTTAAAGATAGTAAGTGTTCATTTATTTCTTTGCTTGAAGTCATGCCTACATTGTTAAACCATGTGTACCGTTAGAGGAAGGCCTCAGAATAACAGACCTTCCATAAGCTAGCTGGAACATTAACAAATATATAACGTTCCTCACGGGATTTAAACCCACTGCGGTGAGGGGCAAGTGATTTGGAGTAAGCTACCTTAACCACTCAGCCACGGACGTCCCATGAGGTCATCTTTGTCTTACTAATTTTATTCAAAATGGACATTTAAAACTAGTGTTTCAAAAACTTGTTTTGAACGTTTTATTACCATAAAGTGTGATAATATTTCTAATAGTATGACGCCTAAAAACATGTTATGCTAACTTTGACTGCTATTTTTACCATTACATTTTCTACCCCGTTGTTTGCTAACGAAGCACAGACCATTTACGCTTTCAGCTTTCAATTTTTGCACGTTTTATGTTATTCGCTACAATCCAGTTGCCCTTCAACAGCTTATAAAACTTTACCTTGTTTTGTGAAATAGTTTAACTATTTAGAACGTTTGCTACTCTTTCGTACTTGTTAGTTACAATTGACGTCGCACCAACACAGAAGATTTCCCATTTTTACTGATGGAGGAAGACCTTATATCTTCTTTGTGCATTTATTCAGGCACGAGCGGACACCTGAGTAAACTTGCTGGATAACTTCCTCACATGAAAGAAGAACCAAAAGTCTCTGACGATATTCGAACTAACAGCAATGAGGAGCAATGGCTTGAAGTCAACAACCTTAACACTCGGCAACGGCCACTCACTTTCATATAAATTTGTTGTTGCTTTTTTAGTGTATGCATCATTACAACGAGTTTTTGCAATAGAATAGAATCAAATAAACGATATACATATTAGTATATAAAAATTTAGAAACGATTGTAATAATATTGTTTCTTCGAATTAAAATGTTAACACAATTTATGTTAATCAAAAGTCGGGTTTAACACATGTCGTTTGAAACAGGAACATTAGGATGTTTTATACATGAATTCAAACCTATGAAACAATAAGTGATACTGATACTTAAGGAAAATATCACGTCTTTTTTCTAAATAAATCATTTAGTCAGGTTAAATCGAAAAAATGTTGTATACACTACATGTTTTTTGTTTTGGTTTTTTTTGTTTTTTGTTGTTGTTTTTTTTTTTTTTTTTGGTCAAATTTTGACTTTTTATGCATTATATCCTTGTAGATTCCGCTACTCGGTGTCGACATCCCGAGTATCAGTCTTATGAATCCCGTCTCTCTTCATTTACTGACTGGCCGACTCATTTGTCTCAAAAACCGGAAGATTTAGCAGATGCTGGGCTATATCATATTGGTAAAATATTTTCCCTCTCTTCAATTTGTGTCCTTGTTCGCTTTGGTGATAATGATAACTTTCACTTCCTTCAAGAAGCTCCACTGAGGTCAAAAAGCATAAATACATACAATATGATTTTAATATTATAATAGATTATGTGAAGCAGTTAAATTGACAAAAATCTGGAAATAAAGAAATTTATTCAAAAAGGAATTAAACACCGATATATTTAGTGCAATTCTTAGCCCGATTTGCATGAAAAGCGTTTCAACGCTTTTCATTACTGCGTCATTTTCACAAAATAATTGTTATCTTCAAAGATTGAGAGAGAGAGTTTTGAAAAGTTTCACACAAGTTATTGGTTTCGAAAATTTATTCCACTCCCGTCATGTCAACAAATTGCAGTGGAGGAATCTCTTTAACATATTTTTTCTTTATCATATTAACGAAAGGCATGCCGTGTGTTATAAGTAATCATGTTCTTGAATTGCTTGTAATTACATGGTATTACGTTAAATGATAATATGTATGTGGCATTAACAGAAACTTGTTTAATAGATATAAGTATGTGTATACATATATATTATTTAAGCCTTATCTTATCATTTTGACCGACACTTCAGGATCAGAATCGGAACAACTGTACGAAAGTGTGATCACTGTTTTCGATAAGTGTTTTCGAGAAGTTCTATCCTCGTTGCATCAAGGATTCAGTATTTAAGAGAACAGGGATACGTCGAACAAGCCAGTTATAACATCTGGGTAATGTTGTATATCTAAATTGTAGTACTTAATTTGTTCTTAAATTTCTATTTTCTATGCTTTTATTTTTTGTAGCTAACTATTTTATATGTACGTAAATTACAATTTGAATAAACATCACAAATATCTCTTTTCATTCTCTATTTGTTGACATCAACAGGTGTTGAAGATCTTGTACGATGTTTTAGTTGTGATGGAGGGTTGAAGCGATGGGATGCTGAGGACGTCCCGTGGACTGAGCATTGTCGTTGGTTCCCAACATGCCCATATGCAAGAGAAATAAAAGGCGAGGACTTTATAGCTCTAGTCCTAGCTTCTTCAGCGTATAATCAGGAGGTCCGTGTATGGTTTTGTTACTATTTAAAGTGCTTTAGAGGGTTAATCATTTTCTACATCAGGTTTATTGTTTCTCAAAGATCATAAGCTTTATTTCTTTATAGTGATTCGAAAAAAATGTATCATTTATAACCATAAATTTTAGATATGAATAACTTTTGGTGCTTTCTTTCTGTGGTTATAATGCCACTTTAGCGCCTCTAGGTTAATGTGTTAAGATGTTTACATTTTAGGAACCAACATATAACGAAGAAAGTCTTGGTAGTGATGACCTGCAAGGAGCAATGAATCAGATGACACTTAGAGATCCTGTATTAAGAGCTGCGCTAGAGGAACACAAAACCACGTGTCTAGAAATGGGATATGACATTGCTGACGTAAATGAAGCTGTAGATGATTTAAGGAATATGGGTAAGTTTGTTAGATTAATTATATAGTGATAAGGTTTTGCACATTGAATTATATGCATGGGGATCACAGAATAATGTGTTAAGATAGCATATGTTTGTGAATGCTTTAAACAATATAGATAAAGTTTTATAACATTTAAATCATTTAATTTTACTTTGTAGTACGAAAATGTTTTTTTTTGTGTACCTCTTGAATTTAAAGAATGCAAACACAAGTAATATTTAATTATATAATTATATTAAATAGTCAGGAATATACTTTATAATATAACTTTGTCCACACACATTCGTTACTTGTAATAAATCTTAAACACCAATACTCTTATTGCGAAGAGATGACATTCAAACTTAACAGAAGTATGCATGACATTAAGGCACTAGTTTAACAAGCTTCAAGAGAAGAAAGGTTATAATTTTATTCCCTAAACTAAATCAAAATACTCACAATTTACAATGTAATAGCTTAATTGGAGACGCTATATACAAAATAACATGATGTTGGAAGGTAAGAATACTGTAGACGATTGATGCAGGTATATGAATTGTTCTTGACGAATTAAAACTTTCAAATTAATATACATGTATGTCTATTATATACATGTATATTCAGGTACATCAAAAGAGTAGAGTTATTAGCCCCTTATAATAATTTATGTCAAGTGTTAGGCAATCATAAACATGAGAATATTGTAAATTATAAATGAGTATGATTATTACGGAATATAAGCTTACATGCGATTCCTTCATAACATTTATATGTATAAATTGTATTTGACGTGTCAATTATTCTTAAAAAAATCGTTGAAATCGTTCTAACTGCTATTTGTTACGCTTTGTATATCATTCAATCTTTATGTATCCTTTTCATCAAAATTAATTCGTTTTAAATCCCAGGAACTATTACACCGACTATTGAAGAGTTAATTGACATGGTAGAGGTTGTTAAAGAAAGAAAACAAAGTAAGGAGATAGCTCGCCAATTGGAGAATCGTCATCAAGGTATGAATTAGTTAACCAAGAACGGATTTTTTCTCCTTTTTACATTACTTTATGGATACAATCATAATACTTTCTGTTCGTATGTCATCATTTATCAGTACTTTTATTATAAGACTAAATATATCAATTGAAAAATGTAGCATAATTATTTATAATAGAAACACTTTAAGTTACAATATTTTATGTATATTGTCATTTTTTACACTTCGAGTATTGAATTCTTTAAATGTTGAACACTCCAAATATTGAACACCACGTTTATTGAACTCTTCAAATGTTGAATATTTCAGAAACTCCTCTTGAAGAAAACCAACGTCTTAAAGGTTTTGTCACCTGCATGACATGTGGTAAAAACGATGTTAACTGTTTATTCCTCCCGTGCACTCATCACAGAGTATGCATGGAATGCGCTACACTATTCACTCAGTGTCCTGTGTGTGACAGACATATTCGACAGAAGATAAGGACATACTTAGTGTAAGACAAACACTGTGTCAGAACAATTTCTAGGGTAATACAAGTACTGTGTCAGAACAAGTTCTAGTGTAAGACAAATACTGTGTTACAATAATTCCCACTGTAATTTAGATTTGAAGTGCATTAAACAGTCTAGAAATTTCACTAACAGCTTGTTGGCATATCATGAAATGTAAACTATCTTCGGCTGCAATATATGATTGCTGTATATTAAAGTAATGTATTTCTAAGATATCAATAAATGCAAAAGACTGAAAGCCATTTATTGAATATTGAAAGAAAACACAATCATGTTCTTATACAATGTGAACGATTTGTTATTATATTGAAGATATTAATCCGCCTTGTCGGCAGTATAATAACCAGTAATACAAAATTTGAATAGATATTTGATTTAATACATTTTCCAGTCGAAACAACACTTAACAAATAGTTTAGAGACGAATTCACAAGAATTTGTAAATAGCTTGTCAAATTTTAAAGTGACTAAAGCTTGAGTACCAAATCTATCGAAAGTTAACTTTTGATTAATTATAGATAATCTACCAGATTGAATATTTAATCAAACAATGCCCATGTTTTTAAATGCACTAAACAACCATACACGTATCAAATTGTAAAATTCATTCCCCTATAGCATGTATCATATATTGTTTGTGTGTGAATTTAGATATATGTTTTAAAACTTATATAATGTTTTTATTTATTTATTTATTTATTTATTTATTAAAGTCTCATCAATATACATTCATAAAAGTTACAAACAATATATATATATATATATATATATATATATATATATATATATATATATATATATATATATATATATATATATATATATATATATATATATATATATATATATATATATATATATACAGTCATAATAAAAAGTATATTGCCACTCCACAGTGGAGTTATAAGAGACTGTACAAACATCATATAAACATTATATGAAATCATTTGAAAGGAACACAACAATAAATGATAAAAACTAAATGAACTAAAGGAATAGGCTAAATGAATTTATACAAATTAATAATAATAAAAAAATAATAAATAAATAAAAAAAAAAACATAAATAAATAAATAAAAAATAAACGCATAAGCGAAGACACATTAGAATCAGTTTAAGTAGGAAAAGTATATGCAATTATACATACAATCTAATAAAGAAGGATTATTTACAAATTAAAACAAATTAAAGAAATTTAATCATTGAGCACTTTGTAAAATATTCATGTTTTAAATTATAATCACAGTTAATCACACAGAGGTGTTTTGTGTGTGTGTTTGTTTTTTTCTTGTTTTGTTTATTGTGAAGGTGTATAAATACGTATACTTTTAATTAAAAGGAGTACTTATACTGTCCTTTTGTCATTTGACTCCAGTTATATAGGTTGGTTTACAATCTGATTCCTTTAATCAAAACATTTATGAATCGTATTTTTGTTAAATATATGAATTTGTTTTAAAGTAGGAAAGAATATGTAAGATTGAGTGTATAATATAGAGCTTCCACTATCGAAATATACTAAACACATCGAAAAAAATATTCTTTTTACGTAATAATTGACCTTTTCGAAAATCTAGCTTAACAGCGTTATCCGGTCAGTTACGAATTACTTATCGCTATTACACGCCATTTAGATGACTTCCCCAGAGCGATGTTTTCGAACTCTTTTCAAAATATTGTACAAAATACGCTTCGGCCTCTGTTATTATAATAGTTTTAGCTGTAGTTTTACGCATCCATCCGCCATCTGCTTATTTGAAAATTTACGAACATCATTCATCTAAATGTGTTATTTCTTTCAATAAGCAACCCAATGCATATGTTAACAGTTTATCATCCATTGGAATAAAAAACAAACCCAAAATATAAATGTGACATGCTTCTTAAAGTGACATTATGCTACTCCAAGTGTAAATGGTCAGTAAATAGGTATAAATAAGGTAAAATACTTGATGTTTTGCCATGATTGTGTTCAATTCCATATTTTACTATGCAAACTCACTCAGTAATCTATTGGACCAACAAATGTTCTAGAATATTGGTCGGTTACGCTCAGTATTTACATGTACATGTAAAAAGCAGGGGGAAGTCATTTTATGATTTAGGTATTTTTGGAATTTTATTTTATTGTATAAAACACATTTTCATCATCAATTATCACCGTACTTATTAGCAAATCTTTAGAAATATATTACTCAATAAATCAATTCAACTCAACTGGACTACAAATAATGCGAGCATAACGTCATTAAATTTTGGTAAAATGATGCAAAGCCATTTGATTTATTGTACAGTAAGTGAAAAGCGTATTATATTACATAAGCAACATAAACAAACACTGAGTCCCATATGGTTCTGTTTATTGTTTTAAACAATTATCTGATGGCGAGGCATTCTTGTTATTTTTATTATATAATATACTAACGAAGTAGATGCGTCTGTATGATTGATTACAATGTCGGCTCCAAATGGCATCCCAAGTTAACGGCAAGATAAAAAACATGGAAATACATTTATTATAGAAGAAAAAGAAGAAAAACATATTTATTCCTTTTATATACTCAGTAATTCGATTACAATAAAATATCAAATGCACGTATAAAGCCACTCAAAATGAGTCTTTTGTGCACGGGCCCAGAGGGGACAGATGGAATATTAAGTCATGAACCCGACGGATTTGGCTAGTAAGTAGAAACCCTTGACGTTTCTTAACCTCTGAAATTGGCATGACGACTGCCGTATGAAAACATCTGCAGATGTTTCTAAATTAAAATCTTGGTCATTTCTGGTTAAATGCTGAATTTTTCATAAGGCAGTGCTCCGGGGTGTTGACAGTAGCTTGCATTAAGCAATACTGTCTATAAACAGGCTAAATCAAATCGAGCCTGCAACATTTTCAATTTTTCCATTTTTGTTTTACTTTTTTGACCACTTACATATTAACAAATTAGCAAAGTTTTGACTCATGACTCCTTACTAGCGAAATGCCAGTCTATCTTAGGAATATGCATCGTTTTTGTCAGAAATTTGTGACCCCCTCTTATAAAATAATTCTGGTTCGCGCCTGAGAGACTATAATAACATAGTGTTACATTATACAACACAGTTAATAAAATATTATGAATCACATTATTTAAAGCATATACAAGAATCAAGCATTAAGATATCATGATATCACATATAAATGTTTAACTGTTTACGACGGATATCTATAATATTAAAATAGAGAAAAACAGAATCCCTAAAGAAAGCCCAATACGGCAAAATTGTAAATGTTGCAGGCTCGGTTTGATTGAGCCTGTTCATGGACGGTACTGGAAAGTGCAAGTTTACAGTCCACGCCCCTAGCACAGCCTTAAGCAGAATTCAACATTTAAACACGAAAATGGTGAAATTTTGAATTTAGTAACATCCGCAGATGTGTTCATACGGCGGTTATCATGGAACCTTCAATGTGATACAGTAGTGCCATTCCATGAAAAGCGGCGACTGGTTTTGCCCAACGGATAAACAATAAAATCTTATAAATCCAGGCAAGGGCATGAACTCTAACAATACAACAGTGCACTTGCTAGTATGAGTAATTACTCCCTTAGATAGAGTAAAAGTTACATATGTTTTGAATTTTTCAAACAACATAATTTTATTATTATTTTCATTTTTTGCATACTTGACTTAATAATCAAGTCGTTATGTAATATATATTATATTAATATACATATATATTACAACACTGTTATAGCTTTATATGACTTAAATATGTAAAGCCAATCATTTATAAAAATTTAGTTTTCAACACCAAACAATATATTTATATTTATGTGACCAGAGAAAATAAAGCATATACTTTATAATAGTAGTCGCGTCAAACTACATATTTTTATTTCGGAAAAAAAGTTGGTAAAACTTATCTAATGATCTTAAAGAGGACAATCTACAAAGATTCTGAATTTATGTGCACAGAAGTGGCATTGAAAATTGTACATTTGATTTGAAGCAAAGCACCAAAGGTGCTATGGGACTGAGCAGGTAAGTGTGGTCCTAAACTATAGAAACATTGACTGTTTAAACCCTACATTTCTCAAACTATACATGTACAGTACTTCAAAGTGAGATTTGAAAGTGATATAATATTATGTTCGTGAAGTTAGCAGCCTAGCAGTCTTGCAGCTTGAAGTTGGCAGCCTTAAGAAAACTTAGAATAGAACAAACATGAAAACAGTCGGAAATACATTAGTAGCACTTCTTTAAATCATTCTACACCTTTTTTCAATATCGTGATCTTTTTAAGATGTTGAACTTTATCTTAACATAATTATTTTCATTCTGACGCTTCGAAATGTGTGAAGTAAGCAGCCTAGCAGGATAGTACAAACACGAAAACCGTCGGTAATGAATCGGTTGCACATACTTAGACAATTCAACGTCTTATTTCAGTATCGCGATCTTTATTTTTTTTAAATATTGAACTTTGTTCTTTTGTGTGTGTGGTTTTTTTTTTTGACGCTTTGAAATTTGTGAAGTTAGCAGCCTGGCAGCCTGGCAGCCTGGCAGCCTAGCAGCCTAAAGAAAACTAAGGATTATACAAACATGAAAACGTCGGAAATGAATCGGTAGCACATACTTAGACCATTTCACGTCTTATTCCAATATCGCAATCTTTATTTTTAAAAAAAGAACTTTTTTTCATTCTCACGATTGAACATGTTTACAAATAACGTAGGAAGTAGTCTTAGTCTCAGTCTAAGAACATTTTCTCGGCTAATAATGTCGCTGTCCATGGACAATAAGCGACGTCATGTGAGTTATTTATGATATGCTATTTTGTATGGATATGTTTATAATGAAGTTGACGATGTTCAACGCATATTTATTTTAGGTCTGTAAATATAAAAATGTGTTAAAATGTAAAGAGATATACAAGGCATATGTTTAAACGAACACATAAATGAACATAAAGATTATCTGAACTTAAGAAGAATACC